CCGTGTCTCCCGCCCCGGGCGAGCGTGCAGGCGTCTCCCTGACGCGAGGGAGGTGCCAAGAGGTCCGACAGGATTTGGCCTTTGATGATAAAGTGCTGCCGCCAGCAGCTGGGGCCGGCCGGAGACCCGCCCACGCTCGCTTTCAGTTCTGCTGTGTGTCCCGGCTGCATCCGTGCCCTTCACCCCGAGCCCGGGGCAAAGAGGGGCCTCGGCCCCACCCCTCGCTGGTGTGCGCTCGGGGGCATCGAGCCCTTGCCGAGCCGGGGGCGCTGTTTGTGAGCGGGCATGTCCCTCCTGGAGCGGGCGGCTGCAGCCGCGAGCGGGGAGGACGAGCGGCTGCGGGCTGCAGCGCAAAACATCCTGTCGATCTGCGTAAACACGGATTTCGGTTCGCCGGCAAAATCTTCCCGGCCTGAGGCTTCCCAAAGGGGAAAGGAGAGCATGGGCAGGGAGAGGGTGAAGACCCAGGACGGACGAGGTGACGAGCTAGCTGGAGGCGGGCTCGCCCCGATACCCCGCGCCCGTCCGTGCAGTGCTGAGCTGCTGATCCCTTTCCCCTCGGGGTATGCAGGTTGGGGCTTCTGAGCCTTCAGCACAGGGTTTGGGGCCGGGAGGTGGGTGCAGGGTCGGGGCGTGCTGGTGTGGAAGGGGTGGAGGGCGGCCGGGTGCTGGCTGCAGCGCGGGGCGAGGACAGGGGATCGCTGGGCTGGCTTGTTGCATCCTGGCACCTCAGAGAGAGAGAGAGAGAGAGAGAGTTGGGAGTTCTTGGGCTAATGGCGAGTGAATGCACGTGCTCCATGGAGGCCGGCGAATTGGGAGGGCCTGGCCTTGAGAGTGGGGCTCGGGCACTGCCCAGCGGGGGAGAGGAGCAGCCGGAGAACAGGCCGGTCGGTGCCTGGTGACCGCCAATGCTGCCTGCGGGTGGCTTGGATACCTCTGGGGGACACGGCCTGCCAGCCCCCATGTTGCATCTCCGCAGTGCCCCCCTCGCGCTCTGTCGTGTTGGCATCTCCTGCAGCCCTCGGGCCTGGAAGGAGAGGCGCCCGCTGGTGTCACGCGGGGCGAACGCCCCTTTGGAGGGGAAGGAAGGGAGAAGCTCTTCTGGACTCTCCCAAGAAGCAGCCTTGTTCGGCCTCCCTCTCCTGAGAGGAGACCCTGCTGCCAGCCCTGGCGCGGCTTCACAAACGCAAAGCCTCTGGCTTTGAGACCCTGGCTCAGAGCTCCTCTCTTCTTCCGGGAAGAAGGGGTGTGTGTTTGTTTCTTTTTTTTTTTTAAGGGGGGGAAGGGCTTGTTAGAGAGCCAGCGTCCTAAACAGCACGGCAGACTGCTGCAAAGCAGCCAGTCTCTATCGTGCCATCCTTCCTTGGGCTCCTCTTTGTCCTCCCTGGGAACTTCTCCCCTGGGGCCACACTCCAGCTCTCAGCCTCGCTCATGCTCCTCCAGCCCACTCAACCCCACTTGCCACAGAACAGTTGCAAAACTCTGGTGTTCACCTGAGGGCAGCAGTCACCAGAAACCGTGAAATGTGAAGGCAAGCAGGGAGCAGTGTCTGGGTGCCGCTGCCAGGCCCTGACTGCCCTCTGCCCCGGTGGGGGGAGGGAGGGAGCACCGAGGTGTCCTGCTTATGGAGCTATTTACAAGAATTATTCAAAGCAAAGCCTGCTCGCGTGGGGCCGCCCAAAGAGCTCCTGCCAAGACCTGCAGGCCTAACCTAGCTTCCTTTGGCACAGCGGCCAAGCTGTAGATGGACCAAGACCCAGAGAGGTGATGTCCTTGGAGACCCAGGTGGTCCTTGGTGGTCTCTGCAGATAGATGCTGCAGCTGTTTGTGTGCCCAGCTGCAGCACTGGATCCATTCCTCAATAACACGTCTCTTTCCTCCCACCCCCGCTCCCAGGTTGTTCTCCTCCACTTCCCTGCGGCCCCTCTTCCTGCTCAGCATGTCCCTGCTTGGCTTTCTCTTGCTGGAGCGGTGGAAGCCCCGGTTCCTGTTTGACTTCTCTGGTAAGTGACACATGCAGCTGTAACTGGCAGCCCGGTGCCTGTCGCTGACATTCCCTGTCTATATTACTGCCACTGCGGCTCTCCCCTTGCTTTACTGTAGGCTGGGGAGTGGCTGCTGCCCCTTTGTCCCCTGACTTGATCTTCAAGAGAGCCCAGCGGGCTCCTTGGGACACTGGCATGCATGTGGGAGGCAATGAGCAGTGGCTGGGGCAGGCAGAGTCTCTCTGGGTGCTGTTCTAACTGCTGGCCCATGCAAGGGCGGCAGTCCAAAGGAACAGGGCAAACCGGCATGAAGCATTCAGACCCAGGGCTCCTCTGTCAGCTCAGTAGCCAACCTCCTAGGAACCCATGCGCCGTGCTGGTGTCATTCAGATAACCCTCCCTCTGCTTCCGAGGCATTCGGCCGCCTCGGGGCGGCATAGAACCATGCTTCCTGTGGTCCGTCTTCTCCGCCTTTTGGTGCAGTGGGTGGGGGGAAGATTCCGGACCCGAGGGCACCTCAGCAACATAGCAGGCGAACTCCATGCGTGTGCCTCAGGTCTGGGCTCTGTTCTTGGACAGGCTCTTGGCCTGCAGCCCTGTTGGGAGGAGGTGAAAAGAAACAGCCGCCTCCCACTGCAGCAAGGCAGCAGAGCAAACAATGGGGCACAATCACGCGGATACAGTTGGCTCATTGTACCAGCCTCATTAACCAGCATCTGGCTCCAGCAAGCAAGTGTGACAGGGACCAGCTTGTATAATTTTGCATAGCCTGGTCGATTTATGGCAGGGCCCCTGCCCACACCCAACATGCCACTGTCGCATGGGAGAGCGTTTCACCAGGCTTGGAGAACCTTCCTTCCCAGCGGGTGGGCTCCAGGGAGCAGCTCTGGATCATGGCTCTTCCTGTGTGAGAGGGATGGGGAGGGGAGTAGTGCCCTGGGGGTGACCTTAAAGGAGGTGCTCTCGGGCCACACAGACTGCTGACCATAAAGGTCCCTGCCTCCATGTTAATCTCTTTTTTCCCAAAGCTGCTTGTTTGTCTCGGGTGCTTCCTGCAGCCGGGCGGCAAAACTCAGCTGGTCCCTTTCACTTCTTGGGCCTGGACGCCAGCAGGATGCTGCCTTCCAGCATGGCAGGGAGAGGCTCCAGGACCTGTGTTATAGAAGCCCCCTTGAGTCGGGGTTGCGTCAGGCTCCTGAAGTCAGAGGCCTGGTGCCCTTTATGATGTGGCTTTATAAAGGTGGGGAAGGTGAAGCAGCTCTGCTAGAGTGCCCAGATCTAAAGCCCGGATCACACGGCAGGTAGATAACAACATGGGAATCAGCTTATAGCAAACACAGAGCCCTGAGGGAAGCTGAGGGGCATTAGGGCTCATCCCCCGCTCCCCCCCCCCCCCCTCCCCCTTCGCGGGGCCCCCCACCACCTCTCT